GACAATCAACTTTCCTTCAATGTTAACTATGTTGAAGCACTTATTTTAACTGATATTATACATATTAATTATACTCTTATAAGATGTATGTAGATAGTATAAGAAATGTGCAGAATATGTTTAATGGTGGAGGTACACAGATATCGATAGATGTCTTGTGATGCACTGTTGATGAACCTGTGACCCAAGTGTTTCATTCATTGCATAACTACACCGTAGTTGTGTATATGATATGTCAATAAACCTTAGAAAATCTTGAAATCTTGAAAGGGATGTGCAAAATAGCCATTATATACAGTTTTTAATGAACTATTAGTAGAGAATAACGAGTAATGAATATGCTTTAGGGATCTGCAGATACATATTTAGTCTTCTCAAGCACCCACTACCAAATATCTCGCCTGATTGTTGGCTGAATTCACTGAATTTTACTCCGGTGTAACTAAAGTCTGATTTAAGGGTTGTTTATATTTCACATCATTAATCCAAATCTGTAAAGTAACTAAAATAAATGTAGTGGAGTAAAAATACCAGGTTAACCTTAAAGAAAGCCCTCAGGATTATAAAAGACCCCCATCACCCCACAAACTGTTCTGTCTGCTGCCGTCTGGCAGGCGGTACCGCAGCATCCGGACTAAAACCACCAGACTCAGGGACAGTTTCATCCCACAGGCCATAAGACTATTAAACACCTGAACTTAGAAACAACATCCATAACATTCATCTGGCTGCTACTTAGAAATTATTTATCTAATATATCATATTCCAATCACTTGTATATAGACTCTTATTGCACTATTTCACTTTTTACTATTTTACTATTTTTCTTTTTGTATTTACTTGCACTATTTGTTCTATCTGTTTTATTGTGTTGCACTGTTGGAGGAGCCTGTGACCTAAGGGGGGGGTAGGACACGTTCTAAGCACATGGTGTAGTCCTATAGCTGAGGATTCTGGGTAGTGTAGTGCCTTCTGCCATCCACACACTACGAACAAATATTTGTTTCTCCGAATCGAAAGGGGAAAATACAAAAGCATTGCACACAATTTAAACCAATCAATGTTGTGTAATTAACAAGGATAATCTGGTGTTTTTGAGTTGATGAGTAGTGCAGATATCACTGTAAATAAAATCAATGGACAGTAAGGAGAATACTTACTTCCGGGTGTAAAATGCTCTGTTATCCAATGGGAATGGACGCTCAGCTCTTTGGGTCCGTAATACAATAAAGGGGACTTAATCAAATAGGAATATAATTATCTTTTAAATAACGTTAACTAAAGGGAACAATCTCTTTGACACAGCTGAAGCTCTGGCCTTCCTTAAAAACGAACTAATTTAATAAAAATCACAGTTGTATTACACACAATGCATTGTTTTTTGAGAACAAACATTGGTGAATAATGCACCATAATACATTCTGACGAAAAATAAAAATGATTATGAATACAAATAAAATAAAAGAAGCCTCCTGTGAGTTACTACAAGCTATAAAGTAGATTTTAAAAACGTTTTATAGAATAAAAGCTCACTGCTGGACGTTGTAGAAATGCGTGTGTGCACCACGACAAAGGAGCCTCATTCACTTTACATTGGGGTTGTTTGCGTGGTGCAGACACGTAAATGTAGCAAAGTTCGTGACTCCACCACGCAATGCGGTGTTAAGGAGTCGTGGTGGAGTCACGCATTCTGGTGAGACCAGGTTGCTTATATTGGCTACCTAGCGAGAATCAACTCAGTGAGCAACAGACACCAAGGATGCTGGCTGATGAAGAACAGGAAGTAAGCTAAATAGCCAATATAAGTCTGAGCAGTACAGATAAATGTGGGCTCACTATTTGGCAAGCAACCGGTCACAGTTGCCATGTTTATCTCATGTCTTATAAAAGCTTATTAATGATTTATAAAGTGTTCACAACCTAATTAATAAATGAATTACAAACTATTCTTAAACCCTTTATAAGGGTAGTCTTATTGTAAAGTGGTACCGCATTTCCTTTGCACATTGCCTTGTGGAATAAAAGACCACATGAGTTAGTTACCTGTAGCGGTTTATATGCAAATATACTAAAATGCTTGAAACCTCTTCAAGACCGGACCCATTTCTACTTTTGGGGAAATTAAGGGGAACATAATTTAGACTAAATAGACCACATAGAACACATTTCTGACAAGAAACCCCCCCTAGTGTCAAATATCTGAAAAGTGACATTATGTCACATTGAGCTTTAAAGGTCCCATGCCTTGGCCATTTCTACTGATCATAATTCCATTGTTGAGGTCTACTAGAATATATTTACATTGTTCAATGTTCCAAAATAATCTCTGTATAAATGTGTATTCACTCTCTGTCCAACACACCTTGTTGGAGCTCTTGCCCCCACCTCCACTGTGCTCTGATTGGTCAGCTTGCCCACTCTGTTCTGATGAGTCCACCACCGTTACAGCGGAACATCAGTGATTATGTGTTACAATGGCGTTTGTTAGCAACCAGCAAATGACACCAGTAATGACAAACAGATGAGAATGCTGCGTGGGGTCTGAGTGCCGTGTTGGCAGGACGTTGCGGGGCTCGCTGGTCCGCCCTGTGGGGCTCGAGGAGCGGACAGTGTGAGCTGGATTACTGGTGTCGTTTCCTGGTTGCTGCGTGGGGTCTGCGTGCCATGCCAGCGGCTGTATCCAGCCTCCAGGGAAACACAGCTGGAAATCCACCTCACATTGTCCGCTCCGGGAGCCTCGCGGGGCGGACTCCTGAGCTGCTCGGGAGTTTGCCCTGGCAGAGGGTGTGCCTATTGTTCTATAGCTGTGTGCCAATTGGTCCATTTGGACTTAGTGCCGTAAGAAAAAAATGGAAAAATAAAAATCTCCAACGAGGCGTTCTGGGGCAGCATAGACACGTATTTTCACCGAGTTTTACTCGTTACGGTGTACTTTGAGGGTTTGTGACTTTGCAGACCGTTTGCATGCAGAAAAAGCTAATTAACACACAATGGGACGGGTAATAACCAGAAAAGCATATGAAGGGGCCTTTAATGGTAAAATAACTCTTATTTATAACTTAATTAATGAGGATGATTTTTTGGTTTAAATTAGTTTGAAATTTTTTTGAATTGAGGAATAAAGAATATATTAACTAAATATAATTGAATCAGCTAAATTAACTGAGCAGATCATAATCATATTTCTAATTGTGACATATGTGTCACTCCGGGTTTACTGTGAAAGTTTAAGGTTAATGTCCCGATGTGACATCAGTGTCACAGCTATATTTATCTCATTTGTTTCATATCAATTTGATCAAGAAATGTTTCCACAACAGCTTTAATGTAATAAAGGACATGTTATGTACGCATTTTAATTCTTAAACAAACAATCTTGGACATGTTGTTATGGGAACACAAAATCACATGACCTGGCCCATGACCCACCAGAATGTTCAGTTTGTGTCACTCATGAAATAAAAACAAGGCTAAAGCTGTATAAGGAACTCTCCATTTAAATGTCATGTGACACCTGTGTCACGGTGGGTCCTTATGGGGAAGAAAGCAAACAGGTTCCCTGTGCAGCAACAGCCAATCCCAGTGTGTTACGTATGCTTTTATCTCATTGGATAGAAATCTTGTGTACGTGTGCCAACCCCGAGAAAGTTTCAAAAGGAAAGCCACACTGACAAGGCTCGATGTGGAAAAAGCTTGTTTGCCATTAGTGTTATGGCGTAAGCGCGTTGACATGAGTAGAGTAGTCTGTCCAAACAGCCGGCCAAAAGGCGTCATATTCAATCGGAGAAATGCACAATTTTCGACTTCCTTAACTCGTAGCTCTGTTGCGCCAATTACGAGTAACGTTATCACATCAGGTGCGCAGAGGTGGGAGAAGTACTCAGATCTTGTAGTTAAGTAAAAATACCATAGAATACTCTGTTACAGTAAAAGTCCTGCATTCAAAATGTTCCTCAAGTAAAAGTATAAAAGTAGCGACAGTAAAAGTAGTCATTGTGCATATTGGTCCATTCCAGAATAATATCTATGATATATTTTATAATTATTGATCATTAAAGTGTTCTCAAAGCTGGTAAAGGTGCAGCTAGTTTTAATGACTTTGTATACTGCAGGGTAGCTTGTGAATTTACTCCAGGTGGAACTAAAGTCTGATTTAACACTTGTTTATATTTCACATCATTCATCCAAATCTGTGAAGTAACTAAAGGTATTAAATACATGTAGTGGAGTCAAAGTACATCATTTACCTCTGAACTGTAGTGGAGTAGAAGTACTAAGTAGCAAAACATTTAAATGTAAAGTACAAGTACCTCAACATTTTACTCAAGTACAGTACAATATAATAACATAATTATACATTTATTCATTTATTTCACATTTAAATAAAGCAATGTTAATTCGGTTAACAATTTGTTTAGTTTTTCCCTTTAAAAAATACAAAAAGTACCTACAAGAATACCGTTAAAGTACCATATCGATAAGCAGTTTCGATAAGAGTAGTAGTACCGTTAAAAACCTTAGCGATACCCATCCCTATATATTACACAAGTAAAGTGTTAAGAGAATGAAATGTTGCTTTACGAATTTCAACACTTGATGCTGTCACATTGATTCCAATTTCAGATACCTGTATTTGCCTAACTGAATTAGTTTAAAGAGAGAAAACATTTTGACTAAAAGTTGACTAAAATGTAATTTTTCATCGACTAAAAGTTGACTAAAACGTTTTGAGTTTTCCTCGACTAAAACTAGACTAAAACTACGAAGGATAGGAATGACTAAAATGTGACTAAAACTAATAACCATTTTCGTCTAAAGACTAAGACTAAGACTAAATCAAAAACAGCTGCCAAAATTAACACTGGTGTCACGGTGGGTCCTTATGGGGAAGAAAGCAAACAGGTTCCCTGTGCAGCAACAGCCAATCCCAGTGTGTTACGTATGCTTTTATCTCATTGGATAGAAATCTTGTGTACGTGTGCCAACCCCGAGAAAGTTTCAAAAGGAAAGCCACACTGACAGACAGTTGAGTCGTTGCACAACTTTCCTGCTGGCCGCATCTCAAACTGTATTTGACAGAGATGAATTCTGAAGGCTACCCATCTGACAGTGTCCCATTGCAGGGGAGATTCGAAAGGTTTCATGGACAGCCTGGAGGATCTGCAGGGGATCAATGCATCACTGTGAACATCCCCCTTGAGCCACCCAGGGACCACATCATCTGGTCCCTCTGCTGCTTTTTCTACTCAAACCCCTGCTGCCTGGGACTGGCGGCTCTCATCTTCTCCATCAAGGTGAGTTTCATTCATGGGAAATATTCTGTTATGGCAAAGAATAGTAAAAAAAGAGTTTAAGGTCGCATTCACACCAGCCTTGTTTAGTCCGGTTGAATCGAACCCTGGTGCGTTTAGCCGCTTGGTGCAGTTCATTTGGGTCGGTGTAAACACAGTCCGAGACCACTTAAAGTGGACCTATCATGCTATATTATAATAATATAGTGTAGGACCATACCTATATAAGGCATATTTATACTTTTTTTTTTTTCAAAATACCAAACAGATCATGCATTTTAGCCATGCCTCATTTCGCTCAATTTGCACTTTTTTACCCCTGTTTTTGCAAGGGCTGATTCTGTGAGAACAGCACCACCTACAGGCCTGGCATATGTACTACAGCGTCTCCAGCGCTTTCGAACGGCAATGGCCGTGGCTGTCTCCTCCTGATTGGTGGAGTTGGCCCAATAGCCGTAGCGCCACTATCCTGACGTCAGGACAGTGTTCAAATCTGGATCAGTTTTTATCAGATCCGTTGCAGCCCCTTTTTTAGAGATTTGGGTATGGAGGAAAATAGAGAGGGTTGTGTTTTCTGACACTTGGTGAGTTCCCTGGAACACCGGGGACACATATTCATGTATACAAGACGTACAAAAGTGCATTTTGCATGATAGGTCCCCTTTAAGTGAACTAAACAACCGGACTCTGGTCACAAGAACGCGGATGTCTTCAAAATCTTTAGCGAAAGAGTCTTTCAAGACATCCGCGGTTGTTTAGTTAAAGAGTGAAGCAGAATTAAGTGTTGAACAGTGTCGTGTAAAGTAAAACTGCTCCGTCAACTTTAAGTAAGAAAAACCTGTCGTCGGTGAAACGCCCCTCCTTACTGCAGAACGTCTCTCATTATATGTGTTTTTTAACAGACGTTGTCTGATTATATAATCATATGCGCGGGCCACTAGAGTCTGTTGATCTCCAGATTAACGGCCCCTACACACGGCGGCGTGCGTTGACGCTTCAACGCTTCTGCCCATTCACTTTGAATGGGGTGACGTCACGCTTTGCCGAACTGCATTGTGGGAGCAAAGCGTAGCTTTTCTCGCAGTGCTCGCTGCAAAAGTAGAGCAATGTTCTACTTTTGAAGCTTCGACGGAAGCGCCAGCAAATCGAATCATATGCCAGCACAAACTCTAGCCAATCAAACCGCTGCTTGTGTGTCCGGGGCGGGAGATTCAGGTGATTGGTTGTTGGTCTAGCTTCAAACATGCCCGCCGGCAAGCGACAACGCACACCGCCGTGTGTAGGGGCCGTAACAGCAGCATGAGAATAACCTGCCGAAAGGGCCGATGCTCCATGGCCAACCTGGTCTCACCAGAATGCGTGACTCCACCACGACTCCTTAACACCGCATTGCGTGGTGGAGTCACGAACTTTGCTACATTTACGTGTCTGCACCACGCAAACAACCCCAATGTAAAGTGAATGAGGCTCCTTTGTCGTGGTGCACACACGCATTTCTACAACGTCCAGCAGTGAGCTTTTATTCTATAAAACGTTTTTAAAATCTACTTTATAGCTTGTAGTAACTCACAGGAGGCTTCTTTTATTTTATTTGTATTCATAATCATTTTTATTTTTCGTCAGAATGTATTATGGTGCATTATTCACCAATGTTTGTTCTCAAAAAACAATGCATTGTGTGTAATACAACTGTGATTTTTATTAAATTAGTTCGTTTTTAAGGAAGGCCAGAGCTTCAGCTGTGTCAAAGAGATTGTTCCCTTTAGTTAACGTTATTTAAAAGATAATTATATTCCTATTTGATTAAGTCCCCTTTATTGTATTACGGACCCAAAGAGCTGAGCGTCCATTCCCATTGGATAACAGAGCATTTTACACCCGGAAGTAAGTATTCTCCTTACTGTCCATTGATTTTATTTACAGTGATATCTGCACTACTCATCAACTCAAAAACACCAGATTATCCTTGTTAATTACACAACATTGATTGGTTTAAATTGTGTGCAATGCTTTTGTATTTTCCCCTTTCGATTCGGAGAAACAAATATTTGTTCGTAGTGTGTGGATGGCAGAAGGCACTACACTACCCAGAATCCTCAGCTATAGGACTACACCATGTGCTTAGAACGTGTCCTACCCCCCCCTTAGGTCACAGGCTCCTCCAACAGTGCAACACAATAAAACAGATAGAACAAATAGTGCAAGTAAATACAAAAAGAAAAATAGTAAAATAGTAAAAAGTGAAATAGTGCAATAAGAGTCTATATACAAGTGATTGGAATATGATATATTAGATAAATAATTTCTAAGTAGCAGCCAGATGAATGTTATGGATGTTGTTTCTAAGTTCAGGTGTTTAATAGTCTTATGGCCTGTGGGATGAAACTGTCCCTGAGTCTGGTGGTTTTAGTCCGGCTGCTGCGGTACCGCCTGCCAGACGGCAGCAGACAGAACAGTTTGTGGGGTGATGGGGGTCTTTTATAATCCTGAGGGCTTTCTTTAAGGTTAACCTGGTATTTTTACTCCACTACATTTATTTTAGTTACTTTACAGATTTGGATTAATGATGTGAAATATAAACAACCCTTAAATCAGACTTTAGTTACACCGGAGTAAAATTCAGTGAATTCAGCCAACAATCAGGCGAGATATTTGGTAGTGGGTGCTTGAGAAGACTAAATATGTATCTGCAGATCCCTAAAGCATATTCATTACTCGTTATTCTCTACTAATAGTTCATTAAAAACTGTATATAATGGCTATTTTGCACATCCCTTTCAAGATTTCAAGATTTTCTAAGGTTTATTGACATATCATATACACAACTACGGTGTAGTTATGCAATGAATGAAACACTTGGGTCACAGGTTCATCAACAGTGCATCACAAGACATCTATCGATATCTGTGTACCTCCACCATTAAACATATTCTGCACATTTCTTATACTATCTACATACATCTTATAAGAGTATAATTAATATGTATAATATCAGTTAAAATAAGTGCTTCAACATAGTTAACATTGAAGGAAAGTTGATTGTCAAGTTCCAAAACAAACCATGCAATATGTTAGACGTTAAGTACTTTGTCAGGCTTAATATCTGTAGATACCCCCAAAGCTTTTTTCTTATTTAAAAGACGACCTTAACCTAAAGTATTCTTTAATGTTTAAATAAAGCCTTATAAGTTTGTCTGTTTTGCACATCCTCCTATCAGGCACTAAACTGTTTTATTGTAGAGATCACTTACAGTATCTTCTTGATATTTTCTATTCTATATTATTTATATCATTGACCTTCCACTTTCCCACTATATTAACAGTATGTACTCTTAATATTGAAATGTTTTCATCAAATATAACACATTCAAAAGTGCTTTACAAAAATGAAAGACATTAAGAAAAAGGCATTTTAAAACAGTCAATAAAAAGCAACCCAATCTACCTGCATTGCATTACTCTAAACGTGTAATAACGTGCTTTAACCAGTAGGAGGTGCGGGTTAAAAAGCTGTCAAGTTTACAGTGTTAACAAAATAAAATATACTGCTGTTTCTGGTTTAGTTTACGACGGATATATTCTGTTATTGTTTTGATATTTGTAACACAAAAGCGATGTAAAAAACCCACAGCAACACAGAAAAGATGGTCTTAACATGACCCAGCGGTCTAGTAGTTAATAAAAAACAATAATATCAAAACAAATTATTACTACTAACTTTATTGTGAAATTAAAATAGAACGGTAAAAGAATAGTTTCCGGTCCATTCTGAGGCCCGATCTCTGTAGATAAATAAAGAACTACGACAGATGTGTAATGTTTAATGCAGCCAAACCATTCATTACAATGCATTCATGTGATGACTTTCAAAGAGTAAAGCAAGCACTGCTGAATAAAGTATGATTTGATCTTTGACGAAACGTTTTTTTTCATTGGAATGCAGTTGGAGGTCAACCAATCACAGAGCTTGAGGCAAAGCGGAACAATAGCTGAGGATTCTGGGTAGTGTAGTGTCTTCTACCATCCACACACTCCGAAAACATATTTGTTTCTCCGAATCGAAAGGGGAAAATACAAAAGCATTGTACACAATTTAAACCAATCAATGTTGTGTAATTAACAAGGATAATCTGGTGTTTTTGAGTTGATGAGTAGTGCAGATATCACTGTAAATAAAATCAATGGACAGTAAGGAGAATACTTACTTCCGGGTGTAAAATGCTCTGTTATCCAATGGGAATGGACGCTCAGCTCTTTGGGTCCGTAATACAATAAAGGGTACTTAATCAAATAGGAATATAATTATCTTTTAAATAACGTTAACTAAAGGGAACAATCTCTTTGACACAGCTGAAGCTCTGGCCTTCCTTAAAAACGAACTAATTTAATAAAAATCACAGTTGTATTACTTACAATACATTGTTTTTTGAGAACAAACATTGGTGAATAATGCACCATAATACATTCTGACGAAAAATAAAAATTATTATGAATACAAATAAAATAAAAGAAGCCTCCTGTGAGTTACTACAAGCTATACAGTAGATTTTAAAAACGTTTTATAGAATAAAAGCTCACTGCTGGACGTTGTAGAAATGCGTGTGTGCACCACGACAAAGGAGCCTCATTCACTTTACATTGGCGTTGTTTGCGTGGTGCAGACACGTAAATGTAACAAAGTTCGTGACTCCACCACGCAATGCAGTGTTAAGGAGTCGTGGTGGAGTCACGCATTCTGGTGAGATCAGGTTGTCCATGGCGGAGGCTCCGGTAGAAATTTCCGTGCACATGACTTGTGTTTAAAGTGTATAGTCCGTTTGAGTTTTGCCCGTGTGAACGCAAACCGAACCTTCTGAAAAATGAAACAATGTAACAAACTGTCGTCTGGTGCGCACCTGAAAACGGACTATTAGGTGTGAATGCGACCTAACATTATCTTGCCATCGCAACTGACAGTTCAGTCAGACAACTCACGTGTTTCTTAATGTGTTTATTAGAAGCAGCATATAGTTTGAGTTTGGCATCTAGGCTCGGGCCTCATCACTCCACAGATTTACAAAGAACATTAAGTGATGATTAGATAACTATCCCCCGAGCCTACAGGTGGAAGCTGGGGTGGAAGCTGGGGTGGTGGTGGGGCAGGCGAGCAGCAGCAACATGAAACACAGCAGCAGGAACATGAACGTAGCAATAGCAAGTGAACACAGCAGTGGCAGCAGCAGCATTAGCGAGGCAGAGGCAGGAAGACCTGGCAGCTTAAATAGAGCGGCATGTTTAGGAGAATGTGTTTGGTTGGTTGTAAGAAGGACGAGGTGTGTCACGTGTTAATGTATGATTGGTGCTCGAGTTGACTGCCTGAACTATCTCGCAGGCTTCGCCCCATTTCATACAAAGGAGAGATTACAAAGGTTTATTTCAGACAGAAAAATAACATCCCTCACTTAGTCCATGATAAGAATCATTCAGAGGACGGGCAGCTGGGGGAAAAGGAATCTTAATCTCAAAGATTCTAGATATGTGCTCAAAACTTGAAGTTATCCCGTTGGAAGCATGAACATATAGCAAAACCTGAATCTAAAGCATTTGATTGAGCCAATTTTCGACATTTAAGGCTCTTAGGGGTTAAGTAAAGCTAAGAATCCAATTTGAAATCAATGTGCTTTTGGTCCTTTCAGGCCAGAGACCGGAAGGTGGTTGGAGATATGGAAGGAGCCCGACACTACGGCTCCACCGCTCGCTCCCTCAACATCTGGGCCACAGTCCTGGTTTCCATCATGATCCTTATTTCCCTTATTATAGTCATCACTGTAATTGTTCTGGCAAAGCAGGCCGCCCAAAGCTACACTGGCTTCAATAACAATTATAGAGGTTAAATTGTGTGAGAGTTTTCTGCAGCAGTGGCTTGGTGATACTTCTCTTTATCTGCTTTGCGGTTATGGCTCCTGCTTTGAACTTTTTACTTATTTTACAAAAGTCTTAAATGGAACTCCTGCATGTTTCCATAATGACAATTTGTAGTAAAGTTTGACATTCTTGCAAGACGTTGTTAATAAACAAAATACCCTGTCTGCAACAGTTTCATTTTATGCTAAACTGTAAAAGATGGTGTTTTCAAAATAAAGAACCCCACCCAAAGAAGAAAAGGGAACGGAGTGTATCTATTTCCTTTTTGGTTTACTATTGAAATGTTATTGTCTGTAACTGTTTCTACTGTAACTGTCTTGCTATCTCAGCTAAAACACTCTTATTTTAAATCAGACTTTTTCAGGTTTATTGAAAAAAACGAAAAAACTTGACCCAGTGTTATAGACAGCGCCAAAACACAATAGTTTCCGTCATCTGTATGAATATGAAGAAAAAGAGTAAAAAAACGGACGGGGGCGCCAGAAAATGTCCGTTAAAAAAAGAAAAAAACTGTAAAATAAAATACGGAGATAACATGTAAAAAAGAAAGTAACTTACCTTACCACAAGTAGCCTCTATTACTGTATTTTACATGAAATCTTTTTCTTTTAACATATATTATTTGTTAGAATAGAGTCATACACCTCTAGAAAACAGAATAATTATCTTTAAAAATGATAAAGAAAAGCTAAAATACAGAAAATGACTTTTTCTGTATGACAAAAAAGTACCGTATAGTAAAACACAAAGAAAAGAACGTCATTTTACTTTCCAAAAGCCTTAGTTTACATTAACTATCACATTTTTTGCCAAAAGAATCTGTAATTTTACAAGAAATGTTTTTATAATTCCATTAAATCTTTTTCTTTTAACATATATTAATTGTTAGAATAGAGTCATACACCTCTAAAAAAACTATTTAAATATTTTTTTAAATGATCAAAAAAAGCTTAAAGACAGAAGATTACTGTTGTCATTTTTAAAAATACCATAAATTCAAGATTCAAGATTCAAGGCTTTATTGTCATTGTACATTAGCTTCAGTGTAGACATGGCAATGAAAAACTGAAGTCACAGGCTCCTCCAACAGTGCAACATATATATAGAACATAGAACAAATAAAACAGATAAAATAGTGCAAGTAAATACAAATAAAATAGTATAGAAATAGTCCAAGAAGAGTCTATATGCAAGTCAATGGAATATGATTGCACTGCCGTACCAGGCCGTGATGCAGCCAATCAGGATACTCTCTATGGTGCATCTGTAGAAGATGCAGTGTATCCTGGAGTCCATGTTGAACTTCCTCAGCCTGCGGAACAATTACCTCATAATGTCCAGGGACTTTTCACACGGAGAGAAAACATACACATGTTGAGAGGAAACTGCATTTTTTTTAAAACCACCCATACGAACAAATTCCAAACTTCATTGCATCACAACAGAAGGTGTTCATCTGTGGAATAACTGTAATGACGAGCTGAAATACTGTGCAACTTTATCTAAACTAAAACTCTTATTTAGAAACCAAATCTGTTGGACCAGAAAAGTTTTTAAGCTTCTTCAAAGCCCCTTTTGAACATGATAGAAACTTTGACAATACATTTTTTTTATACCTTGAACCTTGAATTATTATTATTGTTTGTTTTGTTTCTAACATGTTCAATAAATTGACTAATACAAATGTGTGCCGCTGTCTAGCTGTTTTGGTGATGGTGTTTGTGTGATGAGTCCATGTCAGGTCCTCAGTGATGAGTCCATGTCAGGTCCTCAGTGATGTGGACACCGAGGAACCTGAAGCTGCTGACTCTCTCCACCGTAGTCCCATTGATGGCGATGGGGGCGTGTCCCTCTCTCTGCTGCTTCCTGTAGTCCACAATCAGCTCCTTGGTTTTGCTGACATTGAGATGGAGGTTGTTATCCTGACACCAAGATGTCAGGTTTTTGACCTCCTCTCTGTACGCCGTCTTGTCGCCGTCGGTGATCAGGCCGATGATGGTCGTGTCGTCAGCAAACTTCACGAAATATAAGACCATTTACATGTAAAACACAAAGAAAACATGTCATTTTACTTTGCAAAAGCCCAAGTTTACATTAACTGTCAGATGTTTTGTAGAAAAAAATCACAAATATATTTATATATACAATATATTATTGAAAATAGTAATATACATCACAAAATTAAAAACAATAAGCATCTATTGAGACTGCTCATTGATGTCATCAAGAGCCATTGAGTCTACCTTTTGTAGTCGGCCTCTCAGAATATTTAGCATTTCTTTGTCTCTTAACATTCCTATAATAATTTGTTTTTTTATTGTTGGTATTGTTTTGTTCTTTATTTTTGTTGTGAGAATCACTTTGCAATTGTGTAAGTGCTATATAAATAGTTATACTAATATTATTGTTGTTACCATCATTACTATTATAAATGTTTTCTTTGTTTTCTTTATTTATCGCTGCAGAAAGGATCATGCCAGCCCACATCAAACACCTGATCAAGAACTTGTGAATCTTCAGGCAGAAAAGATGAAAACACCTGTTCAAAGTTCCAGTTCCCTGTACATCGAACCATGCCTGTACTCTGTTCCACATGTCTTCAGTCAGTTTTGGACCCTATGACTCGGACACTAGTTCTACCAAGGCTCATTAGAGGTAAGCAGTGGTAGAAGAGGAGTGGAGTTATCTTTGTATTTAGGCTGCAAGTCGACAAAGGTGATCAAGTGCTGATGCTAATAATGATCCGATTAATTTGATATTGATTGTCTGCCAATACCGAATCCTGATCCGATCTTCTATTTCCCAGATAATACAGCTGCACTAGCTCTATTTGTTTTTGCCATTGTAATTCACCATAAGCAATTGTTGACTGTAACGTCTATGCCAACCAACTGTAATTTGTAATGTATTTTACCATACTTTAACGGTTCTGGCAACCACAGCAGCCCAAATGTTAACGTAAATGTCAAGTTTTCTTTTTACAGTGTACTTATAGCTGTACATTTCTTTTCAGTTTGCTTCAAGAAGTGGCTTCAACAGACAGAAACGCAGGCCAGATTGGGAAAGGCTGGACGCTACACAACGGGAAACATTATGGACATGAACAAGGAAAAAACAAAAACAAACTTTGTTGCCTTTTTCTTATCATACATAGTGTTACTGTTTTTGTTACCATTTAAATATTGAATTGTATTTATTACTTTTATTTTAAATCAAATGCACCGGTTTTAGATAATATATTTATTTTGATGTGTAGGTTGATTTGCAGGTTGGTTGTTATTTGTATTGTTACTGTGTATTTTATTATAAGCTATTTATTGCTATTTATTAAATTAAAATACTGTTATGAACACTATACAATGTCTTTATTTTGGTTGATACCAGAATACATGACACAATGAATCTTTGTAATATATTTATATTCTCTAGTTTAAATAATCATACCAGTATTTAAACAATGTATGCTGGTCACCTGGAATCCTGGTAAGCCTCCAGCATGGTATATTTAATACTATTATTAAACATAAACTGGTGATAGATGGATGCTGGTGACCAGCCCAGCATACCAGCATACTATGCTGGTCGATGCTGTTTTTTTTAGCTGGCCAGGATGGCTGGTTTAGCTGGTTTAGCTGGTTTAGATGGTTTAGCTGGTGCACCAGCTAAACCATCCTGGCCAGCTAAAGTGTCCAAAACCCCTCTAAACCAGCCTGACCAGCGAAGTTGGTCGAAGCTGGTTTTTTCAGCAGGGTTTTAATTCTTAAATGGCTTACATTTTACTTTCAGCAACAAAAAAACAATCTTGGACATGTTGTTATGTGAACACAAAATCACATGACCTGGCCCATGACTCACCAGAATGTTCAGTTTGTGTCACTCATGAAATAAAAACAAGGCTAAAGCTGTATAAGGAACTCTCCATTTAAATGTCATGTGACGCTGTGTCACGGTGGGTCCTTATGGGGAAGAAAGCAAACAGGTTCCCTGTGCAGCAACAGCCAATCCCAGTGTGTTACGTATGCTTTTATCTCATTGGATTATGCTGGCATAGAAATCCTGTGTGCCAACCCCAAGAAAGTTTCAAAAGGAAAGCCACACTGACAGACATTTGAGTCGTTGCACAACTTTCCTGCTGGCCGCATCTCAAACTGTATTTCACAGAGATGAATTCTGAAGGCTACCCATCTGACAATGTCCCATTGCAGGGGAGATTCGAAAGGTTTCATGGACAGCCTGGAGGATCTGCAGGGGATCAATGCATCACTGTGAACATCCCCCTTGAGCCACCCAGGGACCACATCATCTGGTCCCTCTGCTGCTTTTTCCACTCAAACCCCTGCTGCCTGGGACTGGCGGCTCTCATCTTCTCCATCAAGGTGAGTTTCATTCAGGGAAATATTCTGTTATGGCAAAGAATAGTAAAAAAAGAGTTTAAGGTCGCATTCACACCAGCCTTGTTTAGTCCGGTTGAATCGAACCCTGGTGCGTTTACCCGCTTGGTGCAGTTCATTTGGGTCGGTGTAAACAAAGTCCGAGACCACTTAAGTGAACTAAACAACCGGACACTGGTCACAAGAACGCGGATGTCTTCAAAATCTTTAGCGAAAGAGTCTTTCAAGACATCCGCGGTTGTTTAGTTAAAGAGTGAAGCAGAATTAAGTGTTGAATAGTGTCGTGTAAAGTAAAAATGCTCCGTCAACTAAAAGTAAGAACACCTGTCGCATTCGTAAGCATTTGATTGAGCCAATTTTCGACATTTAAGGCTCTTAGGGGTTAAAGGTGGGGTAGGTAAGTTTGAGAAACCGGCTCGAGATACACTTTTTGTTATATTCCATGGAATGCTCTTACCATCCCGATAGCAATGAATATCTTAAGTGCTTTGACAAAAAATCCATAAAAGAATTTCATCTGTGGAAGCCGTAGTACTGTAAAAAGCACGACCAATCATTTTAGCCGGCCCAGCTAAAATAACTGGATGGCCTACCTGCCTGTCAGCCTTCCATCTGTGCACAAACTTATCTCGTGCACTCATTGGTCATGTGCACGTTCGTGTGTGTTGGAGAAGGGGCTCTGTAAGGAAGTGGCAGATTTTCTCCGGCTGTGTATTTTCAAATTCTAGCACACTCGAGCTGGTTTCTCCAAAATTACCTACCCCACCTTTAAGTAAAGCTAAGAATCCAATTTGAAATCAATGTGCTTTTGGTCCTTTCAGGCCAGAGACCGGAAGGTGGTTGGAGAT